GTCGGACACAACCTGTAGTGGAACACCGCGCCTGCTCGTCATCCGCATGAAGGCGTTCATGAATCCATCCACGTCCAGACTAACGGCCATCTCCAAGTGCACCGCGCGAGACTGCATACACGTAAATAAGCACAGGTACCTCTTCGCGCGCGGCTTTCCGCGACCTTGTTTGGTGGTGAAGGGTCCAGCGTAGTCCACTGCTACTCTGGAGAACGCTCTCATGGGCAGAGACACACGGACGGTCGGTAGCGGTGCCATGATCTGCATTCCTGGCTTCGCTGATTGTCGTTGGCAATGGGCACACTTCTTTTTCCACGCTTTGATCTCCTCTCGTCCAGCAAGCAGCCAATACGTCTGCGACAAGAGAGCCAACGTGTGACTTACTCCGCCAGCATGATGGCTCTGCTCATGGGCTTCCTTCACAATTAGCTGAGTGACCCAGTGCCCGCGTGGCAGGATGACAGGGCATCTGGCTGGCTGCTCGAGTATCTGCGCGTTTCGCAGTCGACTGTCAACGCATAGCAGTTGATCATCATTCAACATAGGTCGCAGCTTAACGAGTTTGCTCGAGGTGGGGATGGGCTTGCCTTCTTTCACAAGACGATATTCCTCTGCCAGCGCCTCTTCCTGCGCACCAGCAATGATACTGGTTTTGCTGCTCTCGAGCTCGTCTACGGATAGCGGACCGGTGTGTCGCAGCTCAGTTGGCACGCGGCAATTCTGCACGAAGCGCGTCACCCAAGCGCGCTGTCGGAGAAGACGATTGAGACTCGAGAATCGTGTCGGGTCGAGTAACCAGGGTAGCTCGGCGTCAGGAGCTGTAACTGCTACCAAGGCAACCGGTGCTTGGACAGACTTTGCGTTGTTCTTCTGCTCCAGGTGAGTAGTAGATCTTGGCTCACTGAGACGCATTGTCGGCCACTCATCCTCGCCTTTGCGGAGGAAGTCGGGACCCAACCACCAGAGCGCATCATCGATGAGAGCACCAGCTGACGAACCACGGGACAAAACATCTGCTGGATTCTCCTTCGTCGGCACATGGCGCCATTGACTGGGAATAGTGTGTTGCTGAATCTCACCTACGCGCGTTGCAACGAATGGCTTGAAGTTCCGCGCACGGTTCCGAACCCAGTACAGAACGTTGAGGCTGTCTGTCCAGATGACAGTGTCGTGGACCGGTAGACTGAGGATGTCGGATGCCCAAACTGCTAGTTCCATGCCAATTACAGCAGCTGACAACTCTAGCCTGGGAATTGAAACAGTTACGGCGGGAGCGACACGGGATCTACTTGCGATGATAGCGGTCGACACATGGCCGTCTTCATACGTGCAGCGCAGATAGCTCACCGCGCCGTAGGCGCCTTCAGACGCGTCAGCGAACACGTGGATCTGCTTACTGACGGGGTTGCCTGCATTCACTTCTTGCAGACAGCGCTGGATGCTGAGACGGGAGAGCGCTGCTAGATCAGTATACCATCCGGTTACACGTTGATTGAGCTCATCAGGGAGCGGGTCATCCCAGTCCATGCCTTGTAGCCACATGTCCTGCACCAACATGCGTGACTTCATGATGAACGGGGAGACGAACCCCAGCGGGTCGAAGACACTAGCTGTCGCACTCAAGAATGAGCGCTTGGTGATGCGCTGCTGGCCTGGTGCTGTTGGCTTGAACGCAAAGGTGTCGGTCGTGGCTGACCACAGCAGTCCAAGTGTCTTGACGCTTGGCAACTGCGGGGAGTCGAGGTCGATCTGGCTTGCTCGATCCTCCTTGGGCACTTTCTCCATGACTACTTTGGAGTTCGAGAGCCATTTTCGGGCGTGCATGTCAGCTCCCTGCCAGCATTCCGACAACTGCTCGTACAGCATTACGCCTTCGACGTCATCCAGAGCAGAATCCATGGAGTCGTCCATATACGTTGACGCAAGCATAGTTTCGGCTGCCAATGGGTACTGCTGCTGATGGGCTCTAGCGTGCTCGTGGGATACAAACTGCGCCAAGAATGGCGACGCGTTAGCTCCGAAAACCAGTCGTTGAAATTCATATACTCGCGGAGCCGTCGTGTCATCCAGGTCACGCCATAGAAATCGGTGATACTGCCGGTCCTCAGGACGCAGTCCGATGCGCAGATACATTTCTGCGATGTCACAAATGATGGCTACTGGCTTCTGGCGAAAACGGGTGAGAACGCCAGGAAGTTGCCGCTGTAGCTTCGGCCCTGGAAGCATCGTGTCGTTGAGAGATGTGCCTTCATACTTCGCCGATGCGTCAAATACGATCCGGGTCTTTGTTGTCGCTTTGTCTGGTCGAAGTATGGCAAAGTGGGGCAGAAACCACTGATGACCAGGCTTCAACTCGTCCTTGGCAACCTCACGGACGTAGCCTTTGTCGACATAGCTCTTGATGATGCTGCTGTAGGCTGCTGCTGCATCCGAGTCGCGCGCCAGTCGCATCTCCGTACTACGTAAACGCTTCATGGCCTGGGGAAAGTTGTCAGGAAGCGTAGGTGGTCCATCGCACCATGGAATGCCAACCTCGTAGCGTCCGTCTACGAGCTGCAGCGACTGTTTCGTAGCGTGCACTACCTCCTTCTCCTGCGCCGACAGGATGGCTTGCTGTGGCTCAGCCCGGTTGTATTGTTCTAGCTGCCACAGCTGTGCGAGACTGTGCCCGACGTCCTGTGGCACTGCCTCAGCCAACAGGGTGACGGGATTCGTTGCTTTGCTGCGATTGACGCGTCCGACACAGGTCCAGCCGAGAGGTGTAAGTCGGGCTATCGGCTCGCCGGGGCCACCCTGGATCTCCTGCAGCGACCTATGCAGCTCGGCGCAGTCCAGGCCGACCAGAACGTCAATTTGACGGCGCTTCTCCAGTGCTGGGAAGGGAACGTTGAGCAGGTGAGCCCACTGCTGCTTCTTATGCTGCCAGTTGACCGTGCCGCTGGTTCCGATCACTGAGTCGGCAGTGTAGGCGTGCATTGTCATGCACATGCGGCGGTCTATACTGGAAAGGTTCAAGGAAACTGAGGTCGTGCGGAAGACCTCTGTGCGGCCGCTGAGCACTTTTACCGTCAGATCCTCTTGCTCTCCAGCAAGACCGAGCTCACTCGCAACATGCGAGCTGACGTATGAGTTCGTACTTGCGTCGTCTAGCAACGCATTTACTCTCAGCTCCGCCCCGTTGTGCTTCAGCAGGACTGGCACTGTCCGCATGGCCACGGCTGGGGTAGCAGTGCTTGCGGTAGAGAGCGTTGTGCGCGACTCGTCCTCCTCGGAGGCTGAGGCTGCTGACTGTTGTTGCTGACTGTCGTTCGAAGATCGAGCAGGCGGACTGGCTTGCTTGGTCGGACCATGTAGGAGTCGGTGGTGTACCTTGGTGCAGCCGCCGATCCCGCACTCGCGACCCCATGAGCAATCCTGTCCACTGTGCCCTGTGTCGAGGCAACGATAGCAGAGGCCCTTTTCCTTCGCCAGCTTCCAGCGCTTATTGGGGCTTAGCGCTTTGAAGGCAACGCATTGCCAAGCTCTATGCTGGCCTCCGCAGGATGCACACTGTGACTGAGGCTGACTGCTGGTCACTAGCGTCCTAGGCCGTTCACTGCGATGGTCTCGACCTGTGCGGGAATAGTCGCTCCTGCCGCTGGTGCCGAATCCGCTGACAGTTTCGGATGCAGTAACCAGGAAATCTGCCTCCAATGTGCAAAACTCAAGCAGACCGTGCACCGACTCCGCCAGAGACCGATCGTAGCGCCATCGATGGTAGCGTACAACAATCTGCTCGTCCAGCTTCCGCAGCAGAGTAGTATAAAAGGAGCCTGCGCCAAGTTCAGCAGCGCGACCAGCGTCTTCCAGGTTGACCACAGCTACTGCTAAGAGCTCAGAGAACTGCTCAAGGTCTTTCGCCTTGCCATGCCGGACTGGTCGCATGGCCTCGATCTCCTCGAGATAGATTGCAATACGCCGCCGTTCACCGCCATACTTCCGCAGCAGCAAAGCTTTGGCCGCGTTGTACGCAGCAGCTGAATATCCGAAGCTGTCAATGGCACGCAACGGCTCTCCTTGCAGGTACTGGCGCAAACGCAACATCTTGCAATCTGCCGTGACTGGTGCCGTGTCAATGCAAGTCGAGAATGCGGCCCACCAGGACTGGAAGCAGCGCTTGTCTCCGTCAAAAACTGGGATAGTAATCTTCTGGAGATGCGCCCAAGCATTCTGATACTGATTGGTTTCTGCAACAACCGGTGTGCTGTGCGCTGCCCGAGGTGACGCTGTGGCAGTTGGCGGCTGGAACGCAGTGTTGGGATGCTCACTCCACTGCGGTGCAATACCCGAGTCCATGTAACTCGGAACGAAGGACCTGGCTGCATGCCTCAGACTTCTTGCGCCAGTGAGCAATGGTGCGGTCCTTTCACCTGCTGTGGCATGTTGGGTAAATTGCACAGCTCGTGCTCCCGGAGTCCCCGCTGACATAGCAGACCCCACACTCAATACGCTCACAGCACTGGCGTTGCCTGGTGAGTTACCATCCACGACTCGTTTCTCCGTCCTCATGCTGCTGCTGCCGATGCTTGAACTACTAGGCACTGTGTTGTCGCTAGATGGAAGAGGGAGCGGGGAGAATCCAGCACCGTGGTGCAAACCCGGGCCAGTATCCCGGATGATCGGCTGTGGCTCCTGTTGCTGTTGAGTGCTGTACAAAACACTTGCTGCTTTCTCCGTAGCATCAGAATACAGCTCCTCAAGTTTCTCCAGCTCGGAAATCAGTTTCCTGCGTTCCTTGATTTCCTGTTTGTCCACGGTGCTCGCGAACAAGCTCAGGAGATCGCCAATGACGCTCGTTGCACGCTGGTGTATCCCCGTTAGTGCATCTAACTCGGCACTCGAGACATGTTGGCCGTGGGCTATTTTGCTCAAGATCCCACGACGAGCATTCGTGAACTGGCTCTTTGCCACAGTCTTGAGAACTCTCAAATTTTCCTCGCTCGACTCTACTTCGTCGTCGTTCGAATCGACGTCCTGTTGTGCACCCTTTTCAGGAACCTGCTGTTCCTGGTTTCCACTGCACGTCGCCTGTCCGTCCTTTGACGTGGCCGCAGTTTCTTCCAAACTACCTGGAGCGGGCTCTGACGCGCCCTCGGCTGAAGTACTGTCCATCACTCTAATTACTGAGAGAAACCATCCTCTGCTACCATTGGAAATGAGGCCGACTGGGACAGTGAGTTTCAGAGGTGTTCATCAACTTTCATTCCTTTTCTGACAAGCAAAACTGACTGGCTGACAACGTCTTGGCAAGACCAAAAAACCGCCAGAACAGAACGGAAAACAATTAGGTTGTATCCAGAAAGATAAGCACGAGAGATTCAAATAAATTCAAATAACAGCAGCCACGTGGTGCATACGACGCATCACACGGAAAAGGCATGCATAGTCCAAGTGAGTGGCGGCGTGCAAGGCACAGCGAGTAGTAAACTTATTAGTATGTAACATGCGATAATATGGAATGCATCATGACGTCACAATCAGTGTGTCTCATCGGAAGACCTTCTGAACAGACGTAGAATGCATAAGAGAAAGTGTTCAAATGGGTGTTTGGACATTAAATCTGAAGCCTTGCGGTCTACAATGTGAATGATTATCAGCCACTTCTTTGAAGTACATGTACGTAGGGTTTCCATAAATCACTGGATTGATATCTGTTCGCTACTCAATTGCACGTTACAAAAACCAACCTTCCCTTCTTCTCAGTGTTGGAGCAACCAACTTCCTTATTCACTTTCTTTAGTAAAGAGAAACGACCAATAGGTTAGGAGTTATGACTAACTGTCCACCAAGATAACGAGATTTTATACTATAAAATCTCGTTATCTTGGTGGACAGTTAGTCATAGACTGGCAGTCGGATAGTGCGATAACAAGCTTACAAGGCACAAAACTGACAAGGATATTGAGACATTCAAGTTCAACGACCTGACACCTACATGTAGCTCCAACACATCTACGAAGCGCAAATCTGTTGGTTTGCGCTTCGTAGATGTGTTGGAGCTAGGTGCAACAACCTTCCAACTTGGAAAGCTCAGGTGCGGAAAGTTCCAATGAGTGGAAGGGATGGGTCACGAAGATGTGCACCAGCTACGTGTATGTCCCTCGGCAACAAAAATGTCGAACGTTTATACAAGATGATGATGACGAGACTAGTAAGACCATTGGACAAACCGGTGGACGGTTAGCCATAACTGGTAACTTATTGGTCCTTTCTCTTTACTTATAATGTAATATCGTTATTGGATCAACATCCGATCCGAGTTCACTTTCTTTCTTTTTCATATCTCTACTTTTCCACGCCATCCTTTTAAAAAATATTATTCCGAGTGGGTCCATTGGCTTATGCCGGTTTTGATTCCCACTATAAATAAAGTATGCAACAACAACAACAACAACAACAACAACAACAACAACAACAACAACAACAACAACAACTTTACACACACTTAGAACACTCCCACCTTTTGCATCGCATCAAATGGCCAACATTATTTTCACGCTTTAAAGTTAAACATATACTCTTTGCGCATTCTCTGCGCCACAATTACGCCCCACCACATTATACTCTCGCTGCATACTGCTAGCAACGTGCAGCCTTCGTATAATTTACGTCGCTCTCGTACTTGGCACTTGCCAACTCCGCGGACTGACCGCTGTCTCCATTCTCCCCTGTACAAGGCCCTTCATCACTTTAATTGCTTGCCCACCCAGCTTCGCGAAACCCCTTCTCGTACTCCCTTCAAATCCGAGATATCCCTGCTGTTGCACAACTCTGTATGCTCGTGTAGCGACCACCCCTGCCCGTACACTTTTAAAAGTACACAACTCTGTATGCTCGTGTGGCGACCACCCCTGCCCGTACACTTTAAAAGTAGTCATTAACCCCTAGGCCCTGCCTACCCAATTCTTCCTCACTCTTTCTCCTTTCTTACACCATTATCTCTTATTGGCCACTGGCTATCGTGAGAATAAAGATTTGAAAAACAACAACAACAACAACAACAACAACAACAACAACAACAACAACAACAACAACAACAACAACAACAACAACAACAACAACAACAACAACAACAACAACAACAACAACAACAACAACAACAACAACAACAACAACAACAACAACAACAACAACAACAACAACAACAACAACAACAACAACAACAACAACAACAACAACAACAACAACAACAACAACAACAACAACAACAGCATGAACATGACTGTCAAGATTCAAAACTTTAAAGCGCTATCCTTCTCCTTTCATCTCCAAAAGCGGTCGCCACACCGACAGTCAGTGCGCGCAAGTGTGTGTGACACTGTGTGTGTGTGCATATGTGTGTGTTTGTGCGTGTACGGGCGTGTGATGCGTTGTTGCGGGGCAAGGAAGGGTTTACGGAAGACGCGGGGGAAGATGCTTCTGAGGTGCAGTCTGTAAAGGAGTTGAAGAGGAGGCCGCCACGGATGGACTAGGAGAGGCGTGCATGCGTGACTTCGTGTATCAAGTGATGGTATTCTCCCGCTGGACATATTATGTAGGTCGTGTGACATTATGGTCAGCTCTCATGTATCAACACTGTATCAACACGACAATAGTCATGTAGTACAGGATTGGTCACGGGACAAGGCGCACATCTACAGTTACTTGAACGTCACACAAAGGACTTGCATCATCCGGCTTGGCTACATGAACTTGCACTTTGCAATGCGTGTAACCAAGACTAAACAGGAGCTTACAACCAAGTGTACATAAAACTACGGCCACATTACGATAGTACATGATGACTGTATTATTGCAGTTGGTGTGACCATTCCTCCGTGGTTTGCACGACCTTCGATTCAGAGAAATGGGATCATAATATGCGTACCGATATGATATCAGCAACAGCATGGTGATACTTGATAGCTACTAGTAGTAGTGTTGTAGTACGTTATTTCGTGTACGTCGTGTGTACGTCATGTTGGTGCATGCGCGTGTTGCTGTGGTGTAAAAAGCAGTCTTCGTCTTGAGTTTATCATGTCTTCGTCTTGAGTTTATGATGTCTTCGTCTTGAGTTCGTCATGTCTAGTTGTGTTTCGTCGTCGTGTCAATAAACAGTCTTCTAAATGTAGTTATCGTCGTCCCTTTGTACAAGTGTGGAGATGGCACGGGACTGGGAGCAGGTAGAGAAAAGCGAGGTACAACATTGGTGGCAGCGGTAATGGAAATTTGTAAATCTCAACTTCTGGATTCGTCCTGCGTGGCCTTCGCTCCCAGTTTCCGATGTCATCTCCAGTCGTCCTATCGTCACAATTTTGTCCGTCTTGAAGAAGTTCGTCCGTCGTCCTCGTCCTTCATCATTCGTCTCTCCCGTCTCTTGTCAGTCGTCGTCACTGGTGGTCCCGGACACGACGTAAAACTGTGCCCAGAAGAAAAGTAAAAAAAGAAGAAGAAGGACGGATGGTCCCGGACACGACGTAAAACTGTGCCCAGAAGAAAAAACTGAAACAGAAAAAAAGAAGGATGGAAGGTGAAGGCTGCAGTGTGAGGATGTGGACGCTGAGCAGCGCTTTGAGATGGCGGACGACATGGCAGACGGCGTGAGGAGTTTCGTTGGTGAGAGGGTACGTGTGTTGTTGTGAACGTGATGAGTATGTGAGTTGTGTATTTTCTGTTCTCTCAACATTTTGTTCTTTATTATTTGCTCTCCTCGAGGGTAAAGAGGCGCCCGCACAGCGCGTGTGTTCTGTTCGCTTTTTGATTTGCTCTTCTATGAGGATAACTAGAGGCCCCCACAGAGCCAGTGGATTTTGTTCTTTTTGTTATTCCTATAATTTGTGCTCTCACATTTTTAGAATTTTTGCGTGATCGTGAGGTGGTGTGTTGAGTGAAGCATAAGTTAGGGTTTTGAGGTTATCAGTTCCCACACATGTGACAGCGATCGTGGCTGGTGTTCTGGGTGGGCGGACAGAGTTTTTTTGAATGATCTGCAGTGCAGGCAGAGGTATTTTATTTTTGGGTGTGACTGGTGTGGTATGATTGAGTGATTTGTGTGATCTTTTCCTCTTTTTACTCTGTTTTATTATTAGAATCGAGGACGATTCTACTCTTGGGAGGGAGTTATGTTGTAGTACGTTATTTCGTGTACGTCGTGTGTACGTCATGTTGGTGCATGCGCGTGTTGCTGTGGTGTAAAAAGCAGTCTTCGTCTTGAGTTTATCATGTCTTCGTCTTGAGTTTATGATGTCTTCGTCTTGAGTTCGTCATGTCTAGTTGTGTTTCGTCGTCGTGTCAATAACAGTCTTCTAAATGTAGTTATCGTCGTCCCTTTGTACAAGTGTGGAGATGGCACGGGACTGGAGCAGGTAGAGAAAAGCGAGGTACAACAGTAGTATGGCTAGGACCAAGAGTACATAAAGGTTTATGTACTCTTGCTAGGACTGATACAATGATTTTTATGGTATTAGATATTCCAATACTGGTACAGTACTAGTATTAGATAAACCTTGTAGTAAGGTCACTGTTTCCGAATACGGTGTCCGGCTTCACCTTGCTTCATGCTGTCAAACCAATATTGGCAATAATGATTTACATGTACAGTATATACCTGCATGTCTAGTAAGTAATGTGGGTCTGTTTGAACCACCATGGTGACGGGCAGAACGAGAAGAACCCCATAAGCATGCTGAGTTCTGGGACTTCTGTTTACTTCCCAAGTAAGTTCATTCCTCACGCCTACGTCCTAGGTGTCCACTGTCCAGACAATGTCTTTAATACATGTATTCTACAGCCCACAAACGCAGAAGAGAACTGAGACTGATACAACCGATCAGTTGTCTGAGGATTGCCTTAGCTTTGCTATGTGCATGAAAGGCAGCGTTACAACAATGATCTAGCCGGCTGTCTCTGCTCTCTTCTGCCTTTGTGGTAATGCTCCATCCTCGTGGTGTTGAGAACTCTAGGTATTCTGGGAACTCTGGCTATTGTGTATTCTACAGCCCATGTACATGTACGTGACGTCGTTGTTCCCACATTCCATTCAGTTTGGACGTGTTACATACACTGTACATTGTACTTGTGCAATCATGCACATGCCCATCTATCAAATTGCCATAGATAAAGCGTAACCATCT